GCCAAACTTGTCTTTTGAAATTCCCGAAAAGAAAAACAAAACTGAAAAAGAGGCTTTTCATTTTGTCAGCTACGTGCCCCACAAAAACGCGGTTTACGAGCTCGACGGGCTCAAAGAAGTAAACCCTAAACCCTAAACCCTAAACGCTAAACCCTAAACCCTAGGGCGTAAACCCTCGGGACTCGAGCGGAGGCCTGGGGCGGGAGCTGGGCGGCCTGGGGCGCAGAACTTGGGGTTTAGGGTTTGCAGGCAGACGGGGGAAGGGGGGGGTTTTCAAGGCTAAAGGCTAGGGTTTAGGGTTTAGGGTTTAGGGTTTGCGCTGAAGGGCCCCCTCTGCGTGGGAGAGATCAACGGAGAAAACTGGATTGAAGTTGCCAGAAGGGAAATCCAGCGCCGAGTGGAGGAGTAAAGCAGCCCTAAACCCTAAACCCTAAACCCTAAACCCTAAACCCTCGGGGCCCTTTGTGAGTGCTGCGCGCCTGCCCAGTTGCCTTACTGCTCCGAATTTCTCTCATCACAAATAAATAATAAATAAATAATAAATAAACAAACAAATATATTTATTTATTATTTTTTTTTATATTTATTTGGTTTTTTGTTTTGTAAAGAATTCAAAGTCAGGGAGAAGAACTTCGCTTCAACTTGATGGCTCTGACTACAAACCCTCTCGACGAAATCGAAGAAGAATTAAAACGCCTTCAGTGGGTTTTATTTATTTATTTTGTTTATTTATTTATTCATTAATATAATTTATTTATTTATTTAAATTAATTAATTTGTTTATTTAATTTGTTTATTTGCGTAATTTACTTAATTTATTTAGTTCGTTTATTTGCTCGTTTTTTTGCCGCAGTTTTGGGGCTGTTCGTTCAGGTGTTTATTTTATTTATTTGTTTTTTGTTTTTATTATTTTTAATTGATTTGTAAATTGTTTATTTTAAGTTGTTTATTTAAAATTAATAAATTGAATTTATTTATTTATTTATTTATTTATTTATTTTGTAGGGAAGCAGCAGCAGCAGCAGCAGAACAGCTGCAGGCTGGAACTGCTGCTGACTCAAAGGAGCTGCAGCAGGTAATCAAAAAGAATAAATAAATAAATAAATAAACAAATAAATGGTAAATTAAATAATAAATAGTAAATAATAAATAAATAAATAATAGATAATAAATAACGTCAATTTGTAAGTCCGGAGGCAACAAGTGAAGCAAAGTTAGTGAAAGAGGAAAGGCCAGAAAGACTCACAAAGAATAAAAAATCGAGGGTTTAGGGTTTAGGGTTTCGGGCTTAGTTCTTTTTTGTTTTCTTTTTTTCCATTTGCTTTTTAATTTTATTCTTGCGCTCATTTGTTAGTGACTTTTGAGGTGTCTGTACACCTCAGACCCACCAAGACGCCTTATCGAAGATTGAAATTCTTCTGGACTTGAAAGCCAAAGAAGAAAGCAAAAGAGCTGTAATAACTCTAAACCCTAAACCCTAAACTGTAAACCCTTGAGCTGTCTTCACTTCATCTAGGATTTCCTGGGCTTCTTTTCATACCCCATCTGCGGCGAAGGACTCACGGCTAGGGGTTAGGGTTTAGGGTTTAGGGTTTAGGGTTAAGGGTTTAGGGTTTGCGCCTGCAGGAGTGGCAGAGGGAGAACGCGCGGCGTCGCCACGACTTCACTCCCTTTATTTTATGTGCCCTCAGGTGAACAAATAATTCAAAGGGTTTAGGGTTTAGGGTTTAGGGTTTCGAGTGGCGGGCTCCGTGTATCTGGCAGCAGGGTTTAGGGTTTGGCGGGTTCGCTGCAGCCTCAACAGACGAGGGTCTAAGGTTTGGGGTCCAAGGCTAGGGTTTAGGGTTTAGGGTTTGGGATTAGCATTTTGTCTTTTTTAGGCACCTGGCGAGGAAGGGAGAATTAGTAAAGGCTGTGCGGCGAGCAACAGCAGCAGCAGCAGCAGCAGAAGCAGCTGCTGCAGCAAAGACCGTTTAGGGTTTAGGGTTTAGGGTTTAGGGTTTTGCGAGGCTTGCACGCGCCGCTTCGCTGTTGACGTACACACACGCATCGTCTATTTCCCCAGGTGTCTGAACACTGAAAGCCCCTGAGGTGTACGTACACCTCAGCACCTGGGGTGTACGTACACCTCAGCACCTGGGGTGTACGTACACCTGAGCTGTAGGAATGTACAGAAAGCCTGTTTACTGAGGGGCACATACACCTCAAAGGAGGAGCGCATGCGCATTTATAACTGCGGTGTATGCGCACTTCCGCAACCAAGGTGTATGTTCAGCTCAGCCCAGCAGCTGAGGTGTCTGTACACCCGAGTTATTCGGGTGTACGTACACCTGGGGCTGCCTCGTTTGTCCCCCGGAGGCTTTAGCGATTGGGGTGTATGTACAGTTGATGAAAAAGGTGTACGCGCGTCCAAAGAATTGAAGTGTATGTACAGCTCAGCAGAGTGAGGTGTACGTACACCTGATGAGCTGCGGTGTACATGCGCCGCCGCTGCTGCGGTGTCTGTACAGCGGACCTGCGCGAGTCGTTTGTGAATTTAATTTTTTAAATTATTTGTTTTTAGATTTAAAAGAGATAACAAACAAAATTGGGGGCCTTAGGATGGCCCGAGCCAGACAAAACATGCAGACTGCTCCTTGGGGGCCCCCGGGGGCCCCTGGAGGCGTCTGGGGGGCCCCCAGCAGCGCTGCGGGCCGCTTTCGCGTTGTGTCTTTAGAGTTTAAAGTTCTTTTTAAAAAATAATTTTAATTTAATTTATTATAAATAAAACAGTTTAGAGGCCAAACTTTATCTTCTTCGGGCCGGGGAGCTGCTGCTGCGGCGCTGCTGCTGCCGCCGCTGCGGGTTTCTGCGTTTTCCCCTCCTTCCGTTTTAAAAATGTTTAATTTATTTAATTGATTAAATCCAAATTTAAATTCAGATTTAATCAAACGGAGAAAGTAGCAAAAGAAAAGACCTGGAAACCCGCAGCAGCGCCGCCTCCGCAATGGAGGACACTGCAGCAGCAAAACCAGCAGCAGCAGCAGCAGCAGCAGCAGCACTACTGGAAACTACCCACTTGCTAGCAGCAGCACGTTGAGAAAGGGCTGCAGCAACCGCAGAAATAAAAGCTGCAGTAGCAGAAGCAGCAGCTGCAGCGCAGCAGCGCAGCAGCGCAGCAGCCCTCCCCCAGAAGACCCAACAGCAGCTTCAGCAAAAGGAACAGCAGAAACAGCAGCAGCAGCAGCAGCAGCGCGAACACGACCAGCACCACCCGCAGAGCGAGCACCACGCCAGCAGCAGCAGCAGCAGCAGCAGCAGCAGCAGCATGTGCTCAATAGAATGTGGGCCTCTAGCTGCGATTTACTGCGTTTTGTCTTCGAGACGAAGATCGAGCCTTTTCTGTCTTTAGGTGTCTGTACACCTGAGGACAGCGGCAGCAGCAACTCAGGCAATGGAGAGACAAATAAAGAGCAGCATGCGGGCGTTCACAAAGCAGCAGCAGCAGCAGCAGCAGCAGCAAGCCAGTCCATATGCTGCTGCCAGAAGCGCGCGCTTGCTGAGCTGCTGCTGCAGCGCCTGCGCACCGATGTACATACACCCCAGCAGGCAAATGAATGCAGCGCAGCAGCAGCACCAGCTGCTGCTGCTGCAGAGCCAGCAGCAGCAGCAGCAGCAGCAGCAGCAGCTGGCGGGCTTCCCATTTCTTTTGTCTCATTGCCCTCCGGCAGCCGCCTCTCCTGCGCCCTTCAGACGCTAGCCCTCATTCTTGAAGACAAGCTGGGCGCAGCAGCAGCGGGCCAACAGCAGCAGCAGCAGCAGCAGCAGCAGCAACAGCAGCAGCAGCAGCAGCAGCAAGCTGTCTCCTGCGAGCTGTGCGGCCAAGACGTGTCTGCAGGCTTCTCTCTTTTCCTTTCGAACTTGAAAAGCTTTTTGTCTCTTTTTCGTTTATTTGGTTTTCGCCTTTCCAGCAGAGGGGCAGCAGCGCTGCAGCAGCAGCTGCAGCAGCAGCAGCAGCAGCAGCAGCAGCAGCTGCGGGCCAAGCGGGGGCTGCCAAAGGAGGAACCCAAGACATGCAGCAGCAGCAGCAGCAAAAGGCACAAGAAGGATTTCTGCTGCAGTGCTGCTCCTGCTGCCAGCTGCAGCAGCCGCAGCAAGGGGGCCCTCTGCGGTGTACGTACACCTCAAATGGGCCCCCAAGTCAAGCGCCTCAAGCTCTTCAACTGTAAACCCTAAACCCTAAACCCTAAACCCTAAACCCTAGGGGGTTAACAGTCAGCAAAAACAAGCTGCTGCTGCTCTTGCTGCTGGCTGTGTGCTGGTGTTGCTGCTGCCTTGTTGCTGCGTCTCGCGCTGCAGCAGCAACAGCCTGCTCGAACTGCTGCTGCTGCAGCAGCAGCAGCAACAGCTGCTGCTGCAGCAGCAACAGCAACAGCTGCTGCTGCTGTTGCACATACCTGGCGCCTTCGCAACTGTCCCTGCCCCACCACCAACCAAGCACCAGATCTCCTGCTGCCGCCACTGCTGCTGCTGCTGCTGTTGCTGCTGCTGCTGCTGCTGCTGCTGCTGCAGATATAAAGATTCAGCAAATTGGCCAGGGCGCCTACGGCGATGTTTGGCTGGGGTGTGAATTGGGCAGCGGGCGGTGGGTGGCTTTGAAGCGAATGAAGGCGCAGCAGCAGCAGCAGCAGCAGCAGCAGCAGCAGCAGCTGGTGCTGGACCCGCAGCACCACACTGCAGCAGCGCAGCAGCAGCTGCTGATGCGGCAGCTGCAGCAAAACACTGAAGAGAGAGATGGCTTTCCCAAAACTGCAATAAGAGAGATTTCGCTTTTGACTGAGTTAAAAGGTAATTTAATTAATTAATTAAATTAATTAATTAATAATTAAATTAATTAAATTAATTAATTTAGTTAATTTAGTTAATTAAATTGATTTAATTAATTTAATTAATTTATTTAGTTAAATTAATCAAGTAGTTAAGTAATCAAATAATTGAATGTGAAATGATTTAAGATAATTCAGCAATTATTGCGCGGAAAAAGAATGAGTTGTGGGGCAGCAAATAAACAAATAAATAAAAAGATAAATAAATAAATAAATAAAAAGACAAATAAACAAATAAAAAGATAAAAAATAAATAAATAAGTAAATAAAAAGATAAATAAATAAATAAATAGTAGTAATAGTAAAAGGGAATTTATAAGTAAAAGAAAAATAAATAAATTTAAAAATAAAAATGAAAATAAATGAACTTCAATTGTTCTCCTGTTCGGCTTAACAGCTGAATTTTGTTTGTTTGAAATTCTGAAATTCGGAAAGAAATAAAAAATAATAAGTAATAAATAATAAATAATAATAAATAGTAAAATCTAAATAACAAATAATGAATAAGAAATAATAATAAATAATAAATAATAAATAATAAATAATAAATAATAATT